TGAGACCGGTTACAGCTGCCTATTAAAATATTTTTAATTTCATTTGACGTTAACATGCAAACTGGATTTCGATTCTCCAGTCATAGCTAATTTTTTGTTTAATTTGTGCTAACTTTGTTATGTCAACCACGGAGAGGTTGACCACCGCTTTGGACGTAAGATAAAATGAAGGTTTATTTCTTTGCCCCATTCTAATCAGGGCAATCTACACTAACCTAACCTAACCTTCAAGAGATGCCAAGCATTTAAATGAAGACAAAAATTAGTACCTAGTGAATAACACAAATAACAAGTGAAGATCTTCCCCTGAAGAAACTAATGTTTAGCGAAATAAATTTGTAGTAAATGTATGAATATATTTTATTGAAAGTAGTATGGTAATTCATTACTTGTCAACAAACATTCATTTTCATATACATACATAATTGTATAGTATATAAATTACTTATTGTATATTAAAGAAAAGCCCAAAATTAAAATTGCATAAGTTCAGGAATAGCAATAGACTTTTGAAAAACATATACAACACCTAAATACAAATTTAATACATTTATACATAATTTTATTATGATATGTGCGTTGTTGGGACAAGATGAACATCTATCCGATCCATTAACCTCTTTTTTAAAATTCGGTTACCGACAGTCTCTGTTGGCAGTGTGTTCGAACGAATGGATAAATATCTACATTGTTAAAAATATAAATTTATGCCAGTGGTCATTAAATCAGCAATTATACAATAGAGTCAACACCCACTAACAATAAGTCGAATTGACACATGTTATCTTCAATTGTCCGACTTACTGGAACTTGGGGTTAGAGAAGACAGAGACGTTTGAAAGAATTCATTTTTAAATTTTCACAACAGTATAATGATGTATTATGTATGAATTCTATGATGTGCCTATTGTTTTTATGTTAGAAATGAGAAGGTATTAAGAAGAATAGGAGAACAGAGGGCGCCATGGAGGTCGAAAGCGGATAGGCGAGATAGGTTGCTAGGACACCTTAAACATGAAGGGCTAGTTAGGGACGTATTAGAAACAGAAACAGGAGTTAAGAGGAGTAGAGGTAGACCTAGATTAGATTCCTGTTCGCAAATTGTTAAGGATGTGGGATGTTCTAGTTTTAGGGGAATGGGAAGATTAGTTTCGGAAAGGAAAAAGTGGATTTGTGTGATGAAGTTTTCATGTTGTCCGAAAAATGATTTGTTAAAAAGTTTTTATGCAAATTTTTGAGATACTCCTTTCAAATATTTTCTGATCGACTTCAAAAAAATAATTGTACGAAGGAGATCTTAAAAATAACAAAATTCGTTCTATAGCTGGCTAGGGATGTTGCCTTTAGAATAATTTTTGTTAGAAAGCAATTGTACTTGATTTAGAGTCGACTGTGTTCGGTTAGTTGGTTGGAGATTCAACTTTTAACTATATTAATATCGCAGGTTCATAAAGCCGAGAAGAAAAGTCCAAAAAGAAAATGAATTGCCGATTGTTGAAAACCGATATGTCTCACAAATTTCAACTTTCGTCCAAATAATTTACATATCCATATTTGCTTCGTGGTATATGTCAAAAGTTGTTACGAATTTCGAAAAACAATAAGGGAAGAAGTAGATATTATAAAATTTGTACTTATTTGCTGTATGCTCCGTTTAACGAACGCTAACCAATTTTAAACGTGTTTCAATTCGGCTCCACTTTTATATTATACTCAAAACGATTTTCTTCGTAGTTCTCTCCATACTATATTTTTCGCATTTTTTACGGTTTCCCAATAAACAATTATAACTGATTGTTATAATAATATACGTTTTCATCCATGAGTCATGCCGTAAAACCCTGCACAGTCAAATACTTGTTTTTTTAGTGCAAAAATGACCTGTTTCTAATATCACGTGCTCTATTTGATTTTCACACAAGAAAGTGTTATTCAGGTAACCTTCTGTTTGGCATATGTCCAAGAACTTTTCATTGTTCTAGTATTCTACGATGTAGAATTGTCATAGGCGACATAAATTCGTTATGTATGATTATGACGTTAACATGTGAACATCGAAAATTGTCCTACACTTTTTTGTTGTTAAAAATGTACAACAAAAATCAAATATTTATTTTCTTGACAATATTGTTCCTGCCGGTACGACCATTCTCAAGAGTGTGAATTTGGATTGCAATAATCCAAAGGGTAAAACGCCATAAGCAACTGTGGCTGGGCGAATGCTCGAGGTGGGGTTCATGGATGGTCCACAGTGATGTGCTAGGTGTATCGATGTATACAATTTTGTGTAAAGTTGAAAAAGCTTGACCTTTAACCTATTGGATAACCGCGGTCCCACCAACATTTTTCATCCAAACTTTTAAGATAAGACAAAATAGATATTCATGAATAAACAAATAATTTTTGAACCTCGTTTTTGTATATCAAACTGCGCGTATTTTCTATCATAATCCGGCCCTGGTCGTACTTCGTTGGCTGATAATAAATAATCTTCACTAGTGAATTAATTTTTGAATTAATTTTACCCATTACCTCAAATTAATGATAACCTCATGAGATGATTAGTATTGGTCTTTTATTTTTTGTTCAATAGTGAAGGAAGTCATTTTCTCCTGTATTTCATAAAACGGTTTCACGATATGTACTGTCATTCAATAGTAATAAAATTTAAAATGAGATTATTATGCGCTACGGTTAATCGCATAACATGAGCACACTTAACATGCGAACACATACGTGCATAGCAGCATGCTTGTGCGGCCACAAGTCATAGAAAGTTACGCCATTAAATTTAAACTATGGTGAACTAAATAGTTTGCTCGTTAATGTACCCAAAACTTTGGCACCGTACGCACCCTGGCGACAAAAGGAATTCGATACCTATTTAAATCGTACACCACGCCGCATACATGTCAATTTTCTTTAAATTCTACAAAGACATCTCCAATGCCAAATTATTTTAACGTACATATATGTTAATTGAAGTGATTGAAGATTAACTTGCAAAAACCACGTTTGGGTATCTTAAATAATTAAACTAATTTTAACTGTCGTTGTCGTTTGGTGAAACATTTCATTTGTAATGTTATGAACAATAAGAACTGGTCAACTGTAAGTCAGACTTGCCAACTCAGGATTTCGGACTGTATATCTTTAAATACAATTTTGGCTTCTGAACCACGGATTTACACACTCTACTGATAAGTGAATATGAAGTCAAGTCGACATCTCATTTGGCTTGAAAGTTTGTACAGAGGAACGGATAGCTTTGACTAGGGAACCATAAAATACCCTTAAATACCACATNGAATTTAATTACTTAGGCTTCATATTACAGAGGAATAATGGAGTAGACAAGCACATTAAAAATCTGAAAAAGAAGGCATTAAGTGTAATGGGAAAAGTATGGGGAATAGGAGAAAGAAACTTAAGAGATTGCTGGAAAAAGAGAATGTTTCTTTTCGAGACACTAGTAGAAAGTATAATAATGTATGGGGCAGAAATCTGGGGATGGGAAGAGAGAAAAGAAATCGAAAGTATTCAGGACAGATATATTAAATGGACACTAAAGCTAGATAAGAGTACTCCGAGATACCTTCTTCAGGAAGAAACAAAATATGAAAAACTGACCATAAAATATTCAAAAAGGGCCTTAAAGTACGAAGAAAAAATATTAAATTCCGAAGGCAACGCAATACTAAAAGAATGTGTAAAAGTTAAGGACAAAATTGCGCTCTTGCAAAAGGAAGAAAAGAAAACCACAAGGGAAAGATGGAAAAAAGAAAGAAAGAATTTTTTAATGGAGAGAGGATGGTCAATCAAACATTATATATGGAAGCTGGAAAATGAGAGAAATGTATGGAAGGAACTAGAAAACTTAACTAAAGATATTGATAAACAAAGAAGGAGAGAGAAAATGAGAAACATGAAATTCGCTCAAGAGTTCAAGATATTATGGAAAGGAGAAGAAAAACTTCATTATTTGAAAGATGAAGGAGTAGAGAAAAAACCACCTACAATTAACTGCAAGATTCAGATTGGGAAGCGAAAATAGAGCGTCAAGGTATTGGGAGGAACAAGAAAAGAAATTATGCAGATTATGTAAAAAGGAGCCAGAGACGCTTGAACATATTTTTGAGCGATGTGGGGAAACGGGAAATTCTGCAAAAAGCTGGAAAGCTTAACTGGAAGAAATAGACAACCTGAAAAGGATGAGAGAAATCTTGTGGAAGAGAAGAATAGCAGGAGAAGAAAATTAATAAAAATGGAAAGAAAGGATGGTCTAAATAAGATGAGAAAAATATGAATAAGGATGTAAATAGCAGAAAAACGAGAAAGTAGAAAAGAGAAATTAAGTAAATGTAAATGTAACTGCACCTTGTATATATAAAACATAATGTTTTTAATAAAGCTATCTAACCATTAAGACCAAGTTTTAAGTAAATCTGACGACAAATACTATATGTTCCACTTAAACATTGCAACTCCTCTTCACCACTCCCCCCCCCCCACGGGGACGTAATAAAAACTATCCTATGTCCGTCTCCGGGTTGCAAGCTACCTCCCCACCAATTTTCAGCCAAATCGTTTCAGCCGTTTTTGAGTTCTAAATAGTATATCTAACACGACTTTCTTTTATGTACTATTTCCATACAGAAGCATTAAGTATTTTTGTACAATATGACAGATATCAGGATCAAAATGTACATACCAGAAAAAATAGAATAGTGAACTAAAATACTCCAACAGTCAAGGGATTGAAAGGTTGAAATTTCTATATTTACAGGGACAAAAATTAGCCTAAAACAGTCATGAAAAGCAAAGATCTGACTGTTGCAATGACTGAAAAAATTATATCAAAAATGCATTTCCACAGAAGTCATGAACGGCAACAGATATAACATGAAAATTGTATCAACTACATATGGATAAAAAAATCAATTAACTATTTCTTGTTGCAATAACTTCTTTGCAAAAATGTAGAAGTTCTGATGAGTAGATAGCTTCAATATGGAATAATTTATGAGTACCTAACGAAATCGAAGTCGACAATACCATGTACGCGTCCGATATGAAGCTGATTCAGTTTTAATGTCATTTGTGACAGTCAATTGTCATTAAAGAAAATGCAGAGCGCCAAGGAAATTTACACTAGCCTTCCCGAACCCAAAAGAGAATCAGTGTACGAAATACTACAAATAAATCTCAAACGTGCCGATAGAAGAACGTTTGTTCATAGAACTATTGTAGTGGGAGAACATAGTTTCGGAGTGAACTGGACTTGGGGTGTGGAGGAAGTTTTTCGGTCAATTATAACCGAAATAAACGAGGCATACACTGACGAAAATCTGACCGGTTTGCTAATATGTTATCCGAGTTTCTTTTGCCACCTCGTCGAAGGATCGGAAGAAGCGCTGATCGAATATATTTCCACCCTATTTAAAAAATACGATAACCAATTAGGCAGCGTTAAGTTTCTAGCACCGTTCCATCATATCTACAAAAGAGCAATAGACAAATGGATAACTGTCAAAGGAAATCCACCCAGGTCAATAATATTGTACTTTAAGCCATGAGGGAATTACGCCCATCGGTTTATATTAAGAAACATTAAGAAAGGCTGGACGCCCACCTCCATTCTTTCGTATTCTGAGCTAATCTTCGCATTTCCCTAAAACTACAACATCCCACATCCCTAACTGTTTCATCATCATCATAAGGTCATCAGTCCCAAGACTGGCTGGACACCCACCTCCATTCTTTCGTATTCTGAGCTAATCTTCGCATTTCCCTAAAACTACAACATCCCACATCCCTAACTGTTTATCATCATCATAAGGTCATCAGTCCCAAGAGTGGCTGGACAGGCACCTCCGCCAACCTCTTTTCATTTAATTAATAATATCGAACAGCATATATACCAAGTATCAAGTAAATTCAACCACAAATAAAGTATGTTTCAAACAAAAATGCAACACCTTTTTACACTGGAGGTTTAATTTTTAAAAATGTCGAGATAGGTCTTTCAGAAATTAAATGATACACCATTAAGACCACCACAAGGGAAAGATGGAAAAAAGAAAGAAAGAATTTTTTAATGGAGAGAGGATGGTGAATCAAACATTATATATGGAAGCTGGAAAATGAGAGAAATGTATGGAAGGAACTAGAAAACTTAACTAAAGATATTGATAAACAAAGAAGGAGAGAGAAAATGAGAAACATGAAATTCGCTCAAGAGTACAAGATATTATGGAAAGAAGGAGANCCCACTGTCCATGTTTGGCACCCGTACAACGCCGTGCTCCAAACATACACCTTTAACAATCTTTTTCGAATTTCTAAATTAACCGTTCGCGAGCATAGAAGTGACTTCTTTTTATTAAAGGCAGTAATTTTATCTAGGTCTACCTCTACTCTTCTAAACTCGTGTTTCTGCTTCTAATATGTCTCCAACTAGCCCTTCATGCCTAAGGTGTCCTATCTCGCCAATTTCTTACTGACTTCCATGGCACCCTCTGTTATCCTACTCGTGCCTCTTCATTTCTAACCTTCTCTATCCACGCTATCCTCATTATTTGCCTAATACGTTTCAAATGCTTTTTCTTTTCTGCCACGCTTATTCATTCTACTTTATTTGACTTCCTAGATACCGAAAATTAGCGACTTCTCCTACCTTTATATTCATTCTTTTCCTAATTTTTTTCCCTTGCATACTAATACTTGCTCCTCTTCAAAATACCATGAAAATATTCATATTAATTCCAATAATTTGTAACTATTCTGGTAAATACATCCACATTTTGCATATGGTTTTTTAAAAACAAACAAATGGTTTACGAAATATTCATAATTAAAATACTGGTGTTGTGTTTGACAGGGAAAATTCCTTTAATATTGCTCTTATAACCGTTACTGTAGGATAATGTTAATGTTATTGGACGTTGGTCTTTTTAGGCTACTAAATAAAATAGAAGACGATTGCGACATCAGTGAAACTTGTCATCATGCACTTGTATGTATGAAGAAGCTGTTCAAACTGTGCAATCTCATAAAGTGTTATGTTCCAAGCAGTCCTACCAATATGTCATTATCGGGAAGAAGTTCTACAGATGACAGTCAGGATATAGTATCCCATTCCCTACTTTTGCCTAGAAGTAGCGCATCTGTGGCTACAATGAGTGTAGGGGACGTGGGAGGACATTCATTTGAAACGAGCAAATGGAGAATACTACTTCCGGAAATTAATGTTCTGACTTTCTTTCTCCAATCGCCGTTTTTGCGCGACGTCAGAGAAAAAATAAGTATTTTGGATACAATCGCACCCCTAGATATTCCCGAAGATTTAACGTGGCCTATGGCAGCTGAAAATGCGTGCGATGAAAGAATGTTTGAGCCACGACTCGATCCAGCAATCGATCTTCCAATATCGAAGAAGTAGAAAAATCGATTCATAATGTGATTTCTTACGCTACGATGGTGATTATCATTAACTTTACACTATACTGTGTTATGTATACTCTTTTGTATAGTTTATTGCTATTTTATGTTTATATTTGTTTAATGCATACACAATATATCATTTATACAAAGCCGAGTTGGAGCAACCAATTCTTAACTATTGAGGCGACCCCAAAAATACCGATAGCAAACTAATTAAACATCCGATTTTGATCAGTTTATTCGATTTTGAAGTGATACTTTTTATAGCACACTTGAGTCCTAAGTGTGGCATCCATCATGGGCGCTGCTTACGCTCTTAGCCCTTGACAGAAATATAATAAAGCAAGCCAATCAGAAGGAATAATAAGCTTAGGGGAATGGCCTAGAAGTTTAGACCAGCGGCTCCCAAAATTGATTTTCTACGGAACCCTTTCTGACTCGCCCTTTTTTGAAGGAACCCCATCTCGATAATAAAGTAAACTGGTAAGAGTTTATGTCTAACAATAACCATCTCGAACGGTATCCAGTCAAATTCTGAATTTGTTTTTGAAGTGAAAGGGGGTAATACGATTTTTTTCTGTCACGAAAAAGCGTTACGGCCGCGTGGAGTGATAGATGGTATATCGCGGGGTAAGGGGCGGCAGCGGCGCAGGGAGAGGAAGGCTGGCGCCGGCGGAGAGGGGCAGTGGCTGTATTAGGTGGATATAATGCGCAGCAGCGCGAAGAGCGGGGAGTCCGCTAGAGTCCCGGCGGCGTGTGCTGTGCTCAGCTGTTGTTTTCATACCTCTGTTCTCCACGTAGCTGCGGTCTGTATAAAAACTAAATCATAATTGGTAGTAAACCTGTGAAAACGAAATGTATGCTGGGACACATAGTAGAAGAGAAACTTCAACGGCCAAATGGAAAAACGAATGGCAACGGACTAGTGGAAAAACGAAAGGCAACAAAAATTTACTTCAAATTTTACGGGCAGATTGTTCTTCTCCAATTTGAAAACCGGACAAAATTTTTACTTGAAGTTTTATGGGCAACACTGGTCCAAGTTTTCGGTGGCATCAAAAATTTTTCTTTTTTCAACGATGTATTACAAGAGGGGGAATGCCATTTAAAAAATCGGTTGTCTGTAAAGTCGGTTTACTGACGATTGTTGAACGTGACAACGTCATAAGAAAATACTGATGGAATGGTTTCATTTTTCTTTTAATTTTATTTGTATGATAGATATTTTGTATGGATATAGAGAAGGAAGTAAATGGAAATGTATTATTGTATAGCAGCTGTCCACGCGGACACATCGCTCAATCAAGTAGGAGAGAGACAGATGTCGAACGCTGCCGAACGCGGAGGCCGATTGTGCTTCTTTGTCGCTCGTTCCGCGCTCTCGCTTGCACTTCAAGCCTTAAATGGAACGCCTCAGAGCGAGGTAACGCCGCATGAGTCATGTTTTTTCGTGCGTGCAGCCGTCTCTATCGAATTATAAGACGTTGTCACGTCAAAAACAAAAGTTGAGAGAGGCTCCAGCCCCTCCATTGAGGGAAATCAAAATTTAGACTCTAGTAAAAGGCAGTTTTTATTTTGTCAAAGAACACTCCCAAAATTTTGTTTTCCTTTCAACAACCATTTAAAAGTTATTCAGCCGCCTCCAGTCTTTTGGACCGCCCTGTATACTCGTCCAAAGATTTATTTAAATTTGCTTCGGATTACAAAAAACTGTTTATTTCTGTTGCCTCATTTTATTGATTTAGATTCTGCTTTATAATTTCCTTGATTTGTAGACTTAAAAGAAAAAGAAAAAAAAAGCGTTGCGGCATTTAAAACAATTAAACTTGTGTTGGTTTTGTATTAATCAAGTTTAACGACACCTACTTCCTGGTGAATGCAAAACCAAATCCGCGTACAAATTGAATTAATCGTTTTAATTTAGAGGAGTTGTTGACCTAGGAAGTTGGCAACGATTACAACTACCAATGTTTTAATGGTCGAAAGATTCCGTATTTTGGTTTTCTGTTTTGTTGGGTGCTACTAACTAGCACTTCCCCATTTTACTGATTGACGAATTCTATTTAGATGGATCGGAATATCACTTATTGTTAGACTATGTTGAACAAAATATATGTCAAGTTATCTGAGAATTTGACATGAATGCCGAATTTTCCATACCGAATCGTTGTTAAATTTAACAACTTCAAAAACTTTAATACCTACACTCCATTACAGTAAATGCAAAATACAGTATTATTTTGGACCACAGTCGTCGAGGATACAATTATACCTACAAAAATGAACCGTTTTTACTTTTCCTTCTGAGAAACTACTAATGTCATAATGTTATTATTTCTGCAAACATCACGTAACAGATTCAAACGGAACAAGAAAATAATTATTTTAGGGTTGGAAAATACTAGCTTTTGCGAATTTTCTGTAATCAAACAATTGTTAATAAAATGCCCCATTAGAACCTTACTCCAGTCGGAAATATTGATAAATTATTTTTAATTAAAACTTTAAGAATATGGCAGACATGACGTTTTCATGAACCTATTTTAACGGATTTTAGAGCGGTAATCCACCAAAAAACTCGAAGTAGCTACTGCCTCGATGCGTGAAAGGAGAGCTTATACGGCAGCGGTCGGGGAACTTTTTTAATCATTACCCCAAAATATTTTTGTGTAAGTTGATATTACCCCATGGCGAAGAGCAAAAAAAAAAAAACGAAATCGCCTCTTTTTAGCATCTTTCATATTATAGCCCCCATGATAATTTTGAAAAGAAAACAATCATTTATTCAATTTATCAATGTAACACCTAGTAATACATAACGGTAATAATAGTAATATATGTAATATACAATTGAGGAAAAAAAATTCGCCCCCACAGAAAATATAAGTAAATGAAGCAAATTAAAAATATATACCCTTTACCCCCAAAAATTTCATTTTTACCCCATTTGGGGTTATTTACCCCGGTTCCCCGACCGCTGTTATATGGGGTGAAATGTTGTTCATTATTATTAAACCAGCCAATGTAAGCTCTAATTTATCGCCTAAATTGTATTAATTTCCCTTAGTGTTATGAACCTCATGAAAGTTGGGTTAGGTTACGTTAGGTTAACAAAAGTAATAGATTCGCCTTTATTCTCAGAGCCCTAGCCGGGGGGCGGGAATGCCGAGGGATGCTCTCCTCCAATATCTCCTCAGTTGGCTTTTTCAACTAGTTTATTATTGAGAAAATATGTTGAAAACAGACTTCCCTCATAATTTCTTGTAAAACTTGTTGAGAAACTCGAACGGGCTGTAATAAGTTTACAAAAAGCCATAAGGACCATAAAATTAATATCGGTTCTTAGTTCGGTGTTCACTGAACTCTCATAGGTAGCAACTACTACCCTTACAGTATCATCAAAAAAATAGAACTTTTGGTCAATATTTTGAGTCAAATTTTCCAATGTAAGACGGTTACTATAAGCGGCTTGTAAAAACAAGACAAAGCGGACTTGAACATTATAGACGCAATAAACACTATTAATAGAACCAGAGAATCCCTAATTTCAAGAAAGCAACAGCGAAATGTAATTCTAAACTGAATAGGAAGTGCTAAAATTTTTGCTAGAAAAGTAAAAGAATTAATCTAGAACAGAATTTTCAGACATTATTGCAAACCTTTCAGATAAAAAGAATATTACAAATCAAGTCAAAATACCGAAAAATTAATTCTGCTGTATCCACCTAATCACATTCCTAAGTTCTAAGCGCTTCTTATGCAGTTATAGATATTATTTGATAAATGCTCTTCTATGCAAGGCATCATGAAGTTAGCTGCTAAGTATAAAATAGCTGTTGGGGAAGTCTTTTGTCTTTGTCAGGTAATATACAGTGAACTTTTCGGTTGTTTCGAACAAAACAAATTTAGTTTACTTAAAATAGTTAAAAATGCGACCAGGTCCATCAATAAACAGGAGAGACTTAATGTTCTAAGGATGATGAAAAACCTACTTCTTTTATTCATATCAATTCTTTAAGAAAGTTTTTCGGGTTCGGTTCCCGGCGAGGCAGTAACAGCAGCAACAAACAGTTTTAGCTCACTAAGTTGAGGTAATCTGTAGTAAGATGAAATTAAGCTGATTTAACATTGTTTGACAACTATTTTTTATTTCTAAATGCATATTTTTAGGCGTGTGTGTGTGAAACTGTTGTTCAAAACAGAATAATTCGCTAAGGGCCTGCCTGTTTTATCATTCTATTAAATCGTGATACAGTTACTACGCAAGCGCAAAGGACTTAACCTGATTTACCTCAATAGCACCATTACTCAAACAGCAGCAATATTCGTGTTATATCATTGCTTAGCATTCGGAAGGACGCCGGTTCGGTTCCAGATTCGTCTGCCTTGGTCCAAGTTTTTCTGCGGTTTCCCTGGATCACTTAGGCAAATGCTGGGGCACTAATATTTCACAGATAATCTTTCATTCTCTTCAGTCTTCACTTCGTTCGTCTAATTTTTCTCACCCGAACCACCACCCACCCATTCCCACGATTCCTGAAAGGAAGCTAAAGAGGGTCTTTCGCCCTACCTTCCGGCGTAGTCTGCAGGGACTGCCCGGCCACCGGCATCAATGGCTGGTAAAAATGAAACACCCAAGAGTTTTAATGTTTTTTTTTCTGTAATACTATTTTTAGGTACATATATATATAAGATGTATGTTATAATGTAGATAGTAGTCTTAAAATACAATAAGTATAGTAAAATGTATATAATACATATGCATATGCTATATTAAGTAGTTATAAACATCGTTTCGACATACACAACTATAGTAATAGGTAAATAATTAAACTTCGTAATTAATTGCAGTATTCTAATCAGTTAATTGTTCTTTCGGTAACTTTAAGTCAAGATTGACGGGTTTCTCAAGAAGATGATCGGGAAACACGTCACCTATAGGCCAGGTTTCGTCTTGAACTGTGCTAAAAACGCTTCTAGTTTTCCAATACGACTCCAAAGTCATCCTTACGTCCGGTATCTGAGGCGATTTGATAAGGAATTTCAACAATCCGAATTCTGGAAGGAGAATTCTCCACTTTTCACGTTTCTGATGTATTGAAGAAAGAGTTCCGCTAGCACCAGACAATAACGAAATCGTTGTAGTTACATGCAACGACGAATCAGTAGAAGCATAATTTGGAAAAGTTAATGCTGACAAAGGTTCTTCGTCCAGCAGCTCTTGTTCAGTCTTCATCAGGTTGCACAATTTCAAAATCCTTTGAGCGCATAATCGACAGTGACCAAACGTTGCTTTTATATTGCTGGTTTTGGCTATCTTGTGAGAAAGTACACGGGGATTCCCCGTGATGGCACTCCATGTTTCCGAAGCTCTTGCGTATACATGATGAGAAGTTGCAATATATTTTATACTTCCCAGTTGACTGCCATATTTTTGAAAGGAAGTTCGAAGATATGTGTTGATGGCATCTTCGCATCCTTCCAGCAAGTGACAGAAGTATTGTGGATAGTAAATTAAGAGGCCAGTAAGTTTTTCCAAAGGATTTGTGTCGTTAACATCCTCAACCAAAGTGCGAAACGATTCTTCAATGCCCCATTGGTCTTTAGTGCATGCGAAATTATGGCCTCCAATTATAATTATTCTTTGAATGAATGTGGTTCTACCAGCACTCGTTAAATTCTCTAGTACGTAATCGTATAAAGATTTTCTTTCCATTTTCTTTTACGATAACGAATTGCTTGATTAATGACAGCTATTTGGCAGCGAATGTTTTGTGTCTACAAATTGTTTTGTTATACTTGTTTAACAAAATCATTGATTATTGTATGTCTCTGGAGTTATTTAGGGTGCTTTGCATGAGGATAATAGATTTATTACGGTTAGTGATTATTGTTTTGGTCCTGCGTGAAAGTTAATCAAAAATAATGATAATAGTAAGAAGAACCGTTAGCTCCCTAAATTTTAAGAACCGAAAATTGGTTTCTATATCCCAAAAGATGTGAGTGAGGTTCTTTGGCATTAGCCCGTCTTCACTTGCTCAAAGTTACCAGTGAAAACTGAGAAGACCAGGAGTATAATAATAATAATTTATTGCTTAACGGGTATGCACCCTTTTTTACATAAATATAATTATTGCACTAAAAATGGCCTGTAAAAAACGTAACAGTTTCGAAAAAAGGAATGACGATCTGATTTCCCTTCAAATACTACAAGTTTAACACATCAAATGCTACTGTAATGTAGTCTATGCATGAAGGCAGACGCAATTGCCTTTTATGTATCGTCATACCACAACTAAACGTTTCCCTTCAGATTGCTTTATGTTCTTGGCAACAATCACATGATGATCTACTTAAAACCATCAGTGGTTTTACCATTGAAAACTTATCTTCACACTGTTCCGATTAAAAAAGTCGTCATTCTATGAGTTCTCATTGAGCTTTAGATCCTGTTTCAGCATTCTTCCCTTCTTAATATGAAATTTTAATTAAGTGCAAAATAATCAATTTCTTGAGCATATATTGAAGAACTACCGAGATTAGTCTTGCATTGTAGATTCTATTATCATCACAATTAAGCGTTTTTCTGAGATTGCTTTATGTCCCTGACACCAATCACATGATGATCTATCAAAATCCAGGAACCAAAAAGATGTCTGTCCGTATGTTCTTATTGAACTTTAGATTCTGTTATAACATTTACCCCATCATCCCATGAAGCTTAAATTAAGTGCAGAATAGTCAATATTTTGAGCGTATCTCGAAGGACTACCGAGATTAGTCTTGCGTTGTCCATACTATTCACACAGATAGCTTTGTCTCTTAAAAGCTCCCATAATAATCTATCTAAAACTAACGGTGGTTTTACGTTGTATACTTATTTTCATCCTGTTTCATCGTCAAGCGAATGTAGTCCAAAACCTTTAGCTAGAACAATTTCTAAAAATCACCAAAAGTAATTTATCCGCGCGAAACTGTTATTCTGTAGATATTAACAATTACTTCCCATCTTTTACAGTTTTTAATATTAACAGTTAATTTAGAAATTTGAAAAAGATTGTTAAAAGTGTATGTTTGGAGCGCAGCGCTGTACGGATGCGAAATATGGACGATGGGCGCTGCGGAAAAGAAAGAAGGTTAGAAACGTTCGAAATGTGGTGTTATAGGCTAATGATGAGAATATCGTGGATAGAGAAGGTTAGAAATGAAAAGGTATTAGATAGAATAGAAGAACAGAAGACTCTAAGGAAGTCAAGAAGAAATAGGAGAGATAGGTTGGTAGGATACCTTCTCAGGTATGAAGGTCTAGTCAGGAACATATTAGAGGCAGAAACAGGAGTTAGGAGGGATAGAGGTAGACGTAGATTGGATTACTGTTCGCAAATGGTTAAGGATGTGGGCTGTTCTAGTTTTAGGGAAATGCGAAGTTTAGCTCAGGATGGGAAAGAGTGGAGGTGCGTGTTCAACCAGTCTTAGGAGTGACGACCTTATGATGATGAATATTAAAAATGCAATTTTCTTTTTTCAATATCTCTGCTAGTTACCATGCAGGCGCTAGTGTGAAAAACTTATAAGGTGGTCCATCTTGAAATTCTATAAAAGTGAATACTTGTAGCTTTTATTATATTATATCTTCCTGGAGCAAAATCTAAAGGGTAACTTAGCATTATAAAACAGGGTGTCAACTGTAATTTCATTTAGATATACGTATATGGATTAACATATCCATAACAACAAACCTAGAGCTAATAAATACCAGTTGGGCTAGAAGAAACTCAAAATCTTCACTTATGACACAAAACATTTTAAATTTTGTACCTAGTCAACTGATTTTTCATCTGACAATAACATTGCTAGTAAGTTATTTATTTTTATCTGGTTTAAAAAATTTCGAACGCAGGTAGCTATTTGTGAGTATTTTGATTTTTGAGACGGCAGTACGACTTAATCTCTTACAAAATCGTTATAAATTATAGACCGCCTACAGATACCTAATGGGACTACTGTTTGTTTTATGAGCTTAGTCAAAAAAATAGAAACACCGAATTAACCACATACGACACAAAACATTCAGAAAATAAAATTTATATCGTCATTCCTGATTTTACTACGCCATCTATTAATTTCACAAATTTGAAGTTTCAATGTATTTTTTTATGAAGTTACATGTACCATGTACATTACCAGATCACGCAATATGCGTGGGATATTTCAAATACCTTCAGCAACTAGTCATAGAAAAACGAACAAGGGGCGGCCAAAAATACATATTTGTAATTTCGCAGGATAAGCGAACTCAAATGCAAAAGTCACAAACCACTGAAAGTCCGCTTCCTCATCCAAACCTTTCAATTATTCTTGACATTCAGATGGACATAAATTGGGCACCACCTGATGCTGTCCACTGCCAAAAAACCTCATGCATACGTACATTTATTTATACTCTACACAAACGCTCATCAAAAATATTATTTACCTAAAAATTTCCTCAAGGTATTTGTGCATTTGCGTTATATCATATCCGCTAAAATAAATCTATAAAATATGAAAACTCCTTTGTAGTATCTTTCGGTAAGTTAGAGAGCCAAAAGTCAAAACGTCAATTGAGGATGATTTTGATTCTCAAAGAACGGTCTCGACTTTAAAAAACAGTTTGTGATTACGGTGCATTTGGAGTATTTTACCTATTTATTAAATCACAAGCGTCATCTGCCGATTAAGGATTAAGTTGTAGTAATTACTAGTTATAGTATTTTGAATTTTGTAATTCAAAGTATTGTTAACTCAATAAAAAAAAATCTATATAATGAAAGCAAATTTATTCTGATTAATTGCGTGATTATTGTTCAAAAGAAGGTACATGCAATTAAGCTCTTATTGTACCCAATAATGCACATACAGTAGAATCCGCTTATAATGACATCGAAGGAAAATGACAAATATGTTATACTAAGCGGGCGTCATACAAAGCATATAGTCTTAGAAAATAAACAACTTTCTATTTTGGTTAGTTGTTTAGTTTAATAGAGAGAAAAACGACAAATTGTATATATTTATTAACAGAAAAAGAAAAACAAGAATAAATTGTAATATCAATATACATAGGAAGGGTCAGAAAAATAAGCGAAAATGTTATTATTAATCATTTGGGTCACCGTAGCCGGATATGATTTCTAGAGAATCAGTCATAATAAACGATATGTCATTTTAAACGAAGTCATTATATCCAAACTCTCCTATAGAGAATTTAATATGAAAACCAAACAACACTGCAATTACTTCATATTAAGCGGTTGGTCAATATAGGCGGAGCCATAATAAACGAATTCCACTGTATATGTTATCGAGTATGCATATAAAATTGAATACCGACAAAAATTTATTCCAAATATTATTTTACCTAAGTACAGGATACTATTTTTTCGAAAAGGTGACATAGGAGAAAATGGAAAATTGATAGAGAGGGTTGGGATAATCTTATACACCACTAACATAGTGCTGTTAGGTGAGGACTGAGATTTGGAGACTCAGGGGGTGAAGATGCAAAACCCTACTTTTCTTCCTGTGCAACGTATTGCAAAATAGACCAGCTTGTCAGAATTGACAGAACGGTGTAGGCCTTATAGAAAGGTTAGTAAAACCATCTCAATGTGTGCAATTTTTGGTGAAAATTTTGAATGGTTTTCTGTTACAGTCAGTAATAATACTGACATACTGTAAATGTTTTCTACATTTTCTATTGTTTGCTAAGATTTAATATAAAGTTAAAAAAATTATTTATTTTCTGTAAAATTGTGCCCACATAACCTTAAATATGGTTGCGATTTGACTAATTTTGGTCGTCTTATTGACTTAGCCTACAATTTTTTATAATTTTTGTTATTTGGAAGAAATGGTATTCATTTTCTTTACATTCGGGCAGTGCACACTGTCATATTTGTAATTTTTTTAAATCTCGGAAATTTAATTAATCTGTTTCTTTTGCACTTAGAGATTTACATTAAGTTATTCCGTTATCAAGATAAACCTGAGGATCATAGTAATAGTGACACGCAAAGAGAGAAAAAAAGTTAAAAATCTTGTTCATTAAATTGACATAACATAAATCTCGGCAAACTGATACAGGTATTTTCATCTGAAAATAAAATTACTTTTCATTGTAAAACCCGTTAAAATTGGATGTAAATTATATTATTACAATGTTGCCTGGAAGGGATAATTTAAGAATATGGTGAAAAATGGGTGACAGTGGGAAAGATACAATACACGCAAGCGTTTACAGACCAGAATAAAATAGTTTACAGGTTGTAGAAAATACGTATAAAGTTGATATGCGACTGGCCAAGCGTCACGGGTCCCGCTTCTATTTTCGACGAATTATTTACGGGATCACAAGGTCATTATTTGGGTTTATTTTGATGAGCGAATTAACCGCAGTGCACCACGATGTGTTGTGTTCTTTCCTGTTTTGGGTAGAATCAAAACTCAACAAAACATTTTGGTATTACTTAGGATAAAAGGTTATGTTTCTCAAAACTTATGCATACAAAAAAAAACTGAAAAAAGAATTGAATCTTTATACTTCGATGATTAGAAAAGAAAGACAGCACTAAAATTATTTATAATATTGCTTTAGTGCATAAGCACACGATCATGCAGTCGAGAGCCAATAATTGTTGTTGATACTGAAGTTTTTTGTTGATTTTTGCGACGTTTCGATGGCCTTATCGCCAAAGACATACGATTCCAGCCGTTGCACTTTTTGTTGATAAAATAGGAAAATATCATAAATAAAAATGCAATATCTACATGATCAAAGCTCACAAAATTGTCATTATACGATAATGTGTCCCGCGATAAAAATACCTCTGAAAGCGAGACTCGAGTCTCTGTCTCTCATCGAGTCTCTCTGGTGTCGCTGAGAGAAACTGTTGAGAGACTGTCAAAGAAACTGT